CCAGGCATCCCGCGCCTCCGGGCCCGGCTGGGCTGGGGACGCCGCCGCGACAGCCGCGGGCCCGGGAGGGAGGCAGGGCCCAGGACGCAAGGTGGCGACAAGGCGCGTCTGGCCCAGGTAACGGGGGTCACGGTGCTGGCCGTGAGTGGGGGAGGTTGCCGGGATGGCAGGGCCAGAGGCCTCGGCGGGGACGGGGGCACCGGAGGAGAGCTCGTGTTGATGGGAACAACCACCGTCCGGTCACAGATCCGCTGAGGTGAGCCCCGGTGTGGGAGACAGCGTGCTGGGAGATTGGCAGGCGTCCCCCGCAGCCATAAGTACAAAGTTGGTGCTGGTCTGAACCCCGCTGTGTTCCCGAGGAAGCGGCGCCGCGGAGGTCTGGGAGTGGAGAGCTGGCGAGTGGTGGAGTTGGGACACCAGTTTCACCTGGTTGCATTTCCAGGGCTGGACTCCTGCGACTCCGCAGCCCGCGCGCTCAAGCCCTTCCGTGAGTCTGGCGGAGACACACAGGGGTCAGAAATGGGGCATTTCCTCCCAAAGAAACCCCGCGCACCTTCTTCCCGGGCTAGCTGTGCTCTCGGTGAACCTGAAAGGGCAGCCCCGCTTTTCCGTTCCTCAGATGCACCGAATTCTTCTGGCAGAGCTTGGCACGCACTGGTCTCTGTGTGGACCAGCTGCACAGCAGAGCCCTCGTCTTCAGGATTTCTGACCGTCCTGCCTTACTCTCTGTTACTGACCTTGTTCATTTCTTTCCTAGAACTCATATATTTTATAATTTTTCTTCCCCTAAAAATCGTGACCTGGTTACACGTCTCTAAGCCCCCTAAAGCCAAGGGACCGTGTCTAGTATGGTTTTTTTTTTTTCCTGTTTTAGTACCGTTGCTCCCCGTGCTTAGCATGGGATAGCCAGAATTAAGGCGCACGTTGTTTCTCAGTTACGTTCATTTTTTTTTCTTTTATGCAGAAAATTATTTTTGCCTACCTCCTACATGCATGGCAGGCATTTCCACGGTCATTTCCAGGACAGTAAAAGCACACAGAGGGCCTGGACTGTCAGGCTGGGCCTCCACTGAAGTCTGTGGGCATAGAAGCCCTTGGAAAGTTTTGAGGAGTCCGATATGACTAGAGCTGTGCTCAACACTGGAGGTTTATAGAGGAGAAAACACAGAACAGACCCTGGAAGTCTGGTCCACAGGTTCAAATCGTGTGTAAGGACACCACTGGGGTCCTGCTACAATGCAGATTCTGATTCAGTAGATTCCAGATGGAGCTGCAGACTCTGCATTCCTCCTAAGTTGCTGAGTGACACTATTACTGTGAGGCCACTGTCCGCACATTGAGTAGCAAGGCCATTAAGGACAATGTGAACGTTTTTGTGGAAACCTGAGTGATAGCTAATGAACACCTGATTTAGGACGCCTTAGTGACCAAGCAAACCTGCAAGGCTTTGTTAACAGATAAGAGAAATCCATTTCAGAGGGTATACTTGTTAGGGATTACGTTTTGATAATGGCAGCAAAAAAAAGTATACACGAGTTTATTTTCCTAATGAATCAAAAACATTTGGAGGTCAGTGGTTATCGTTGATTTAGCAGCTCAAGGCCTGGTATGTGCTGTGAAAGTCTTTTAGTTCTTTCTTCATGATCAAACAAGCACCCCAGCCAACACTTTTGCATTCCCAGGCAAAAAAAAAAAAGAAGGAAAGAACTAAAAGTATTCCTGCCATCAAAATCAGCTCCTCTCTAAAAAGCTTCGTAGAGGTGTACCCGTGATAACAATCACATATTGTTGGCTACCCATGATCAGCAAGGATAGGCGGGAAATGATTCTTTATTTCTTTGCTTAAAGCCAGACACATAGCCCTAGAGCAGTGGTGACAAACCTATGGCACATGTGCTGCAGGGGACTGTTTATATCATTGAAACCTGTAAAGGTTCGCCATCATTGCCCTAGACAATGAAGTTCTGCCTTCCATGGTCTGGAGCCCTTCACCCTTCAGTGGCATCTGCCTGAAGAAGGAAATGGCTTTTTTTTTTAGAGTCACTGAGTTGGCCAAGCTGGGCTCAAACATGTGATCCTCCTGCCTCAGCCTCCGAGGGTTCTGGGATTACAAGCATGTGCCACGGTGCCTGCCTGGGAAATGCCTTCTTACAACCCACGCAGACCCCATGTCTGGGTGTTCTCTGGTAGTGTTAGTGGCGTATTTAGTGAGTACTTGGTATGTGTCAAGCAGTAAGCTAAATACTTGATGTGTTACTTGATTTGACCTTCTCCCAATCATCCGTGTTACAGTGTCCACTTAACAGAAAGGTTAACTTGCTCAGGTGTTTACCCCCAGTAAATGTGAGAGCTGGAATCGCAAGGCAAAATCAGACATTAGAGCTTAGCCTTGTAACCACCATAAACTGCCGCTTGGCGCAAGAAAGCCACTAAGCATGTGCGGACAGCAACCGACCAATGAGCAAACAGCAGGTGCTCAGGTACACAGCAGAGTGGCCCCCTAAGAGAGGGGAAGGTTTTCCAAACAAGCAATCTAACACTTTAGTTTTATAGGAGGATCATTAGTGGGGAGTGAGAAGTAGACTCCGCAGCCTCCCACTCCAAAGTCAGTACCTTCCCCCAAATACATCATATTCAACAGATTGTGATCTTTGACTTGCAGATGTTCCCATTTATGAAACGGAAAAGGGACCCGATGATTTCTGCAGGTCCTGGGCTCTGTATTGTACTGTCGATGAGAAAATGGAAGTTGAATGGTTTATAGCTGAAACGCAGAGAAATTTAACCTTCAGACACTAAAGAAGAGACATTAGTTCCTTATAATTTAAATTTCTCCACATTTTTTTACTGTTATCTATGGCCCGATAGGCTTCTCTTTTGAATTTGAGATTTGGTTTGATCACTTGCCCAGAATCAAATAACAGAAGCAGCAGTATAAAATATATAAATCGGGACTCTTAGAGCATTTATGTCTACATCTTCCATTCTCAACATTTGTTTAGTGGATTAATGCTTAAGGAAAAGCCATTAACATTTCATTGGCCAGAATCAACTTATTTTCCTTTTGCTGTTTCTAGGAAGCTTAGGCAAGACTTTTAAATACTGTCTTAGATACCAAGTTCAGTGCCTGCACGTCAATACAAAACAGCTATATGCGACTTTTCCCTATAAAAAATTTTTCCACTCTGCTTATAACTCGCTTTTTCCTTTTAACTTGGGATCCTCCCCCTCCCCAATCAGTGATGTTGACCTCTTTGATGTACAAGCGGATGATGGGAGTCCTGAAAGAAAGCTCCCTGTTCAGAGGAACTGGTTGGCACACCCAGAGTCAAACCCATGGGTTCAAAGATCATGAGGTCTATTTTAACCACTGTCTTCTGTCAAGCTTCAGGCCTCTGCCAAAGAGTACATTGAACACCAAGTTACAGAAGACTGATTCCACTTAACTGCATCCCAACTCTTAGAAAAAGATTAACCAAAATCTAAGCCCAGTGGCTACTGAATTATCGGGAGATAGCCCTCAGTTTGGCCCTCCCTGAGAGGAAGTCCTAACTTCAAGAATGCAAACAGGCTTTGGAGTTAGGTATATACCCTGGTTCATATCCAAATCCTACCAGTTACTAGTTGTGCCTCCTTGGGACTTTTGCTTGTTAAAAACACCTGAATCTTCAAGGCCTGTTACAAGAAAGATTCAATTAAATGAGTTCTACTTACAAGGAGCATAGCACAAAGCACCCACACAGGTGGCATGCAATAAATGGTGACTAGAATTATGCATATTTGTTCTCCCCAGACTATAAATGCCTTGGCTAGCTGTGGCTTGATTAATTTGTGTGCTCTCCACCCCAGCTCCATCTCACAGAATGCCAGGTACAAAGTAGGTTCTCGGTATTTGTATGAAAAGTATGGAAATGTGCTCATAAAAATCAAGAACGTAAGAAATATAACTGCTTCCTAGAAACCTAATTTCTGACTCTGAGTTGCCATTTTGTCTGAGTGGTGGGAACAAAAGCATAACCTTAGTGCTTCTTGGATTTCATCCTAGCTCGTTGGTTCTTCCAGATGCTTTGTAATTCCAGGCAAGTGCCCTAGTTTCACAGTACATGGTTATTCCAGGTGGTGTGGGGATGAGTGGGGGTATGTCATCTAATACTTGGTCAGTTATTGCCATATTGTTCCTGTGCTTGGTCATTGTGGCTTGCCAGACTTAAGGTATGAATATCTGGGCTAAGAGGTGCCTGTAGTATTAGGGGCATCCACACGTTGCTCTCGTGGTGTGCCTGGGTCCCCCGCTAACGATACTGTGCCGCCTTCTCTTCCCATTTGCATTCCTCTCCAAAGACTCTGTATCATCTCTGGAACAGCATGAAAATCCAGTTCTTCCTTGTTCTTTGGACAGTATCATTACCCAATTCCTATAGGAACCTGGCTCCAAAATTTAGGAGAACAAAAGCTAAGAAGCCACCTTTGCATTCATCTCTGCTAGTCAAGAGATCCCACAACCTGCTCTCTGCTTGAATTTTTGGAAGGAAAGGGAAAATACAGAGGAAGAAAATTTATCACCTCATATCTCAAAGTATCATTCTTGCTGCCTGTATTTGTTGAATGAATGACTGAATGTCTTTATATGTATATGTGTATATCTGGTATATTTTCATATTTAATAAACAAGTATAGTTTAGTGAAAATTGTAACAGTTAATGTTCTTCACATGCAAATAAACTACCTCACCCCATACATAAAACTTAATTTAAAATCAATGTAAATATAATAACTCTTAGTAGAAAACACTGGAGTAAATCATTATGACTTGAGATTAATAGGTAGTTTCTTAAATATAACACCAAAAGGACAGATAACAAAAGAAAAATAGATTGGAATTTATTAAAATTTTTAAAAATTTGGGCACACCATTAAAAATTCAAAAGACAACCTATGGAATGGAATAAAGTATCTTCAAATCATATACAGTATCTAATGAAGGACTTTATCTCAGATATAAAAAGATAGGCAGCCCAGATTTTTAAATAGCCAAAGGATTTGTGTAGGCAATCCTGGAGAGGCGTGGCTTCATGGTAGACTGCTTGCCTAGTGTAAGGCTCTGGCTTCCAGCCACA